AAACAAACCTGATGCTAAAGCTCTTTTGGCTTATTTTCCAATCTTAAAATCAAAAACAACTACTCAAAAAAAATCAAGTAATTTTTTATTTGCAAAATGGTCTATGTATCAATATTCTTTGAATGTAATTTTAAAGCTACTGCTTGACTATAAAAACAATGGGTTTGATCTTCAAACAAATAATGGTGATTTATGGTGCTACCTATTTGTTTCAGTCTTTTTAGATGACCTTCTAGAACATTCACTGTTAACATTAACATATAATGCTTTCAATTGTAAATGTCTATATCACAGATGCTTGGTATCATTTAATGATATGAATAATATTAAGTTAAATGTAAATCAAATTAATTTAAGAACCTCAGAAACAATGCAAAACATTATTCATCAAGAACTTTCAAAACAATATTCCATATATAATATAAAAAATGTATTTTGAAAATATTCGTAAGCATATATTTATATCTATATTTGATATAAATTTTATATTTTGTAATAAATTTTATTAATTTATTTTATTATTTATTTTATTTTATTTTATTTATTTTATTTATTTTTTGTGATTATGACATCTGAAATCATTATATGATACTGTAATTTAATAATAATTTATAAAAAATATCAGCTAATTAAACATTTATATAGCTACAATTCTGGATAAAATGCATTATTTGAACTTAGGATTGTTCAAATATTAAGTAGAATATACAAGAAAAATGCTAAATAATCTTTGTGAAAATGTAGCAATTGATAAGCTTAATCAATGTTTAGCAAAAATGCCAAGGTTTCCTGAACTTAAAGTGTTTAAAAAAGGTCTTGAAAATATTAAATACTCTACAGCTAATGAATTTCACAATATAATGAAAGTGTTTCTCTTTGTTATAAAAGAAATTATTATTAAATATCATAAAATTTCAATTGAAAAAAATATTGCAAAACAATATGATTCTGAATTAATCAATGTTTATTATCACTAAAACAAAATGTATTTGTTTAGCAAAAGAAATATTTTTTAGAATCAGACCTTGTAGAGTTTAAGATAAATCTATTAATATTTAATATAATTTTTTTTATTTAATAGTTGCAATATTGTATATTAATAATATTAATTAAAATTATTTTA